TAATCTACTACTATTCTCCACTTTTTTTTTTCCTGATGCATCTAATTTTTTTTGGACTACCCAAATAGGTGAAGACCACGGTGAATTACTATGTTGGATTATTTGTTGTTCTAACATATCGTTTATTTGTTTTTTCACTTCTTCGCGATGTACATGAGGATATCGATAAGATTTTGTATATATTGGAATTTCATCTGTTGTACGAATTTTATGTTATACTTGATTTGTAAAGGTTAATTTATCATTTGGTTTATGAAATATATCTTTGAATTTTCTACATAATTTTACAATTTTTATTCTTTCTTCGTTGTTCATGTGATTTGTTCGAATTAAATTTTCTATATCGGAATAATTTATTTTATTGTCGATTTCTTTGGTATAAAAGTTATGTAGTTCAATTTGATTTGTTAATTCTACATCGATTGGTTTTGTTAAAGTTAGATTTATTTCATTATCATTTAAATTATGTATTTCGACGATGGCTTCAAAATTTTGTGATAACGTGACAGTTTCTGGGATAAAACAATTAGGAAAATATTGATGTTTTACTAAAATTTCTCCTTCTTTGATATTTACTGGAATTTTATATTTTTTAATACACTTACTAGGAATGTTTTGGTCGAAAATTATTTTTTCTGGGCTTTTTAGATAATGTAACTTTAAATTCACGTTTGGTAATATAAGTAATTCGTTGTTTAAATCTATCATTGCTTTTAATTTTCTTAAATTGTCTATTCCTAATAAACCATTAAATGTTTCGTGAAAACTGAATAAATGAAAAGAAAGATATTCATTAGCTTTGAATTCTTTAAATGCAGGAATTTTACAAGATATTCAGTTTTCAGGGCAATACATCAATTAAAAAATTTGTATGACTTTAAAACATTTTTATTTTTTCCATACGTTTCGACACATTGTTTTGTGTCATCTTCAGTGGACTATGTAATTGAATTAATCCTAATTATTTCATATTATAAATGTTCACAATGCACAATCCTAATTATTTCATATTATAAATGTTCACAATGCACCAAAAAACCAATCCTTGTCATTTTAAATTGAACAATATATAAATTTTTGAATGAGATTTTTATGAGTTTGTAAAGTACATCACGCTATTCGAAACGTATGTCGAAACGTATGGAAAAAATAAAAATGTTTTGAAGTCATACAAATTTTTTAATTGATGTATTGCCCTGAAAACTGAATATCATATATATATATATATATATATATATATATATATATATATGAAAACTGTTTTTCATAATCTCTCATACCAGGCACCTCTGTCTGACTGAGATATGAAAATAATGTATATATGTAAATAAAATAAAATAAAAAAAAATCTGTTAAATGTTTGATTTTTAATTTTTTATCAATTTTCGTACTGTAAGATATTAGATGATTATTTATCAAAATTGTAATATTTAGACTATAATTTTAGATGAATATACTATCTATTTTGGCATAGCAATTAGTTTTTTTATATTTTTGTTTGAAATCAAATGAAACATAAATATATTTATTTGATATTTTTCCCTAAATATCCGATTTATGACATTGTTTTCAATTATTTTTAATTTATTTTGAATTAGCAAATGTCAAATATAATTAAAATATGCATTAAATATTGTCTATAAATAATATGTCATTTTCTAAGTATTATTTGTTACTTCGGTGCTTGATATGGATATGAATTTGTAATAAAATATATTCTTTCTGACAAATAGTTAAAAATTGCCTATAACATAACTTGGAATAATTAATTTATTTGCTTCTTATTGAAGTAAGTCGTTAAACATTTTTTTTGTGAAATGTCAAAATTTTGTTTATAATTAACTTCCCGTAGGGCAAGTTATAGTAATCGCAAAAAAATCGAAAATGAAAATTTTTATATATCTTTACGTTTCAAAGGTTTCTGAACATTTTGGCATACCTTAGAAAAAATGGATGTATGTGTGTGTGTGTGTGTATGTATGTATGTATGTATGTATGTACGTGTGTGTATGTATGTGCGGATACAAATTTTCGTCAACGATTTTGGGAACACGGATCAACCGATTTGAATAATTCAAAAAACATTCGATTCGTATTGATAAGGAGACGTGCTGATTAGTTTTTGGCGAAGGCAGGTCTAGCCGTTACGAAGATACGGGGCAAAAAGTGCCAAAAACGGTACATCCGTTTTTAAGAGAACGTAGCGTCCGATTTGAATAATTCAAAAAACATTTTACTTGTATTGACAAGATAAAGAATTGATCAAATTTTCATGAAGGCAGGTCTAGCGGTTTCGGAGATCTAATGAAAAAAGTAAAAAAAAATGCTATTCGGCGGTTAAAAATGATCATAAGACATATGCACATCAAATTATCAGATATTTTATAGAGATTTTAACAATAAGCATAATTTTTTTTCACATTTCTATGGGTTCCGTACCAATACTTATGCGTTAGGCGGCGGCGCGGCACTTGCGCTGTGACATTTCGTCTCTATGCAGTTCAAGCAGTACGATTGCATTGAAAAAGAGTTCAGAATTTCCAAAATATGTCAAAATGAAGAAAACATTTTTCTTTTCAAAAAATTTTTTGTTTTCAAAAAAAAATTTTTTCTTTCAAAAAAAATTTTTTTTTTCAAATAAATTTTTTTTTTCAAAAAATAGTAATTTTTTATCAAATTTATAGTTATTCAAAAATCTAATTTTTTCGAAGTAAATTTTTTTCAAAAATGTTAATCGTTTTTAAAAAAAATAATAATTTTTGGTACGGGAAGTTCCAGCAATTTGCCTTAAGGCACGATGCCCTAATTGCCTTAAGACAGAATTCCACTTACAGCTAGTTAATTTTAAATTCAATATGCCGCTTTTTTATTGTGATCTCTGATCTATAATGTTTTGATGAAGTTTTGGTTTCCGAAATAATTTAGTAAGCTAATCAATTAAATCTAAACGTAAATCAATTTATATAATTATTTTCATGAATATTGACAAATGACATTTAATTTTTTTTCATGTCAACATTTATTTAAATTTTTTAAGCATTGATTTTTAATTAGATTTAAAACTATAAACAGTGATTTTGAATATAGCATTTCATCAAATTTGGATATAAATGTTGGATATTTCTATATATGTACATGTTTTTGAATTTTATTTTCTGAAAATCAAATTTTTTTTTTCAAAAATTATATATCGAAATTTCCTTAAATTTTGACATTTGTCATTTTAGTGTTTTGTTTTTTTTTGGTCATTTTCTGTCAAAATTTTTAGAAATTTATTAAAATTATATATGTATATTTCAAATTTACTTTTCAAAATTTCCTATAACCTAAGTTGGATATATATGCACACGATGAGCCATTAAAATTTAAAATCGGTTCAGTAGTTTGGGCGTCCATCGCGAACTAACATCGTGACACGAGATTTATATATATATATATATATATATATATATATATATATATAACTGTAATAGAAATGTTATTTAGTAACACATAAATTTTAAGAATAAATTTAAATAATTGAGATTCGTACTTACCACAATTGAAATAGAATAATGAACATCATGAGCGTAAGACGTAAGACGTAATAGTATTGTCTTTGTTTTGACCAATATTTCTAATTGCAAAACAACAGACGCTCAAATACATATCAACTATCAACTATATTATATTATAAAATATATAAAATTTAAAATAAAATCGATTTAATAATTGCTTTTAATCGTTGCGGACGTTTTTGGTGGGTTTTGTCCCAAAGACTCTTGGGCTCAAAAAATAAAAAATAAATCATCATGAATAATTTTCGTAGATTGTCTTCTGTCTACATCATTACAACAAATTAATTCTACAAAATATTTTTATTATAACATATATATTATTATATATAATTTTGCAAGTAATTTATTAACGTTTCAAAATAAGTAAAAATATTAAATTGTCTAGAGTACTTTTTACAAATTATTATTCAAAGTTTAAACAAATGTTTAATAAAGAAATAGATAAATGTAAGTAAATAATTGTCAATATTATAATTTTTTTGAAACAACAAATTGACTGCATATATATACATAAATGTATATAAATATACATATAATATCATGTATTATATAATATTCTTTGATTATTATTACAACGATCATTGCTTAATATACAATAATATATATACAAAGGAATTTATAATATAAATATACATATTTATTATAAATTCCAATGTACACATATTACAGATTCTTTCATTATAAAAAATAATAAATATTTAAAATCAACTAATAACAAATAACTTAGTTTTGAACATTTTATAAGTATTTCAAATTGCATTAATAAGTGAATAACATATAATTTTATATTACAAACTACATTTTGCGTTTAGCTACCAATTATTACACGATATATTATGGTTTTAGGGGTTTTGGGGTTTTAGTTATCTTTATCTTAGTCGAAATGTTATCTAAACAACAAAGATAGGTCCCCTCACACTCACTAAATATACAATTACTAGATATGTTATTTAACGAGCAAGCATTTATGTATTTAAATGGACACAAGAAAATATAAAAAAATCAAATAATATATTAAATATTTCTATATTTAAATACATATATATATATATATATATATAAATATAATATATATATATATATATAATATGTAAAATAATGATAAATTTACTGAAACTATTTTACCAGTGTAACAAAGTGTAATAATTTTAACTTGTTTTAGATAAATTTAAAAAAAATCTTGTAACATTTGGTTTACAAATAAAAATGTGTCCTTCAAATACATATTTGAAGGACACATTTAACACAATAAACTTAATTAAACAATGAAATTTGAAGGACACAATAAACGAAAAAAACTGCCACCAAGACCGCAAAAGGCAGGGAGGCTGTAAAGAACAGCAATGAAGTTCAAGGAACTGATTCCAAAAGTGTCACAGATTCAGCGCCCATACCAGAAATTTTAGATTGCACTAGGCAATCAGGAATCATTGGAAAGTGAAAATGTGTTCATGGAATGTAGATGGTATTCGAGCATGGGCAGGGAAAAAAGGAGTTGATCTTGAAGATTGAAATCCAGACATCATATGCCTACAGGAAACGAGATGCCCCTTAGATAAATTGCCTGACCTTTATTTGCCAGGATATCACTTATATTGCAAGTCTGACGAAAATGCAAAAGGATATGCTGGAGTAGCCATTTACACTAAGAAGTTGGTGAGGAATATTGAGTACTCAATTGGGCTTGAAGAATTTGATGCAGAAGATCGAATAGCTGTTGCTGAATATAACTCATTCTATCTGGTATGCGTATATGTCCCAAATGCAGGCAGAGCTCCCATCAACAATTCAGCCACTTAGACTTTCTGTGGGCCAAAGATGTGTGTCATTTGACACTTGAAGTTTTGCGTTTGCATTTTGCGTTTTTTCTCTGATGGCAGTTTAGAATTTGTTGTAGATTCAATCTGATCAACTACGGATGAATCATTGTCGTCGCTCTCTTCTCTTTCGGCTTGTTGATTATTGTTGCTAGCGGGTGAAATATGCGATTGGATTAGTGCCATATTCACAGCAGATTCTATTTCATCAGAGCTCATCTTTTGCAATCTCCTTCTGCACATGTAGCCGATCATCGGGTTCTAATATCACACATTTTTCTAAATGCTAAATAGATGGATATCATTTTTTTTTGTTCTCCTCTTTCGTATGCTCCGTTTCATTAAGCGGTTTACTGCACGTGCTTGTGAATTTCTTGATTCTTCCAGCCATGTTAGAGATAATTGCAGCACCACGTAAAATAAATATTATACACTGCAGACAATGTCTATCTATATAAAATATAATTCACTTATAATGAAACCTCAAGCAGTAATGGCACACCAGATGTAATCTATGTTAATGGTTTATATAATGTACAAAATATTCATTTAGTTAAAAATGTAAAAGCAAAATAGTAATAGTTCCTTGTTAAGTTTAATCGGTGAGCGCTAAACGGCAAGGGAAAGAAATACGTTGCACAACAGCTTTACCACCACATTATTTCAACAATACATAAAAATTAATATACACATTTAAGTGTTTCAATGTGGTAATTTGAATGTAGAATTATAAAATCATTATATATAATAATATAACAGCACATATTATCTCTTTCTAATGATAATAGGTAAAACAAAGTATTTTGTCATATAATTATATATTCACATTTTTGTACTTAGCACTATATTTTATATACACATATTTAGCGCGAAATAAGATTTTGACCATATTTTGTAATAGCCGAGGTTCCTATTTTTATATTATATGTATTAGAATCTAAAATACTTGATTCATATTTTGTGGTTCGATATTAATTTACTATTTTTTGTAATCTTCTAATATAAGTTTCATTTTCTATTTAACTTTGCTTTTTATGTTGTTTTGTGCCATGTAAACTCAAGCGGAATATTTTATTTTCAATATATAAACGATTTATAAATACCACTATATCAACAAGTGCACCACTTTTTTTCAATTTATCTTTTATATGCTTTTCACAATTTTTTATAAACTATTTACATCTATCAAGTTAAGTTTATCGAGCAAAAACAGTTGTAGGATTTCAATGAAAATGTTTTATTTTCAAGATTTACACAAGTGCCATTTTCTGGACTTAACTTTTATTTTATATTTCCCAAGAAACGAATCTAGGAGGTTTACCACCCATATGCTGGTTATATGTTTTGATTATTTGGGGGCGATCTATTGACTCTTGCCCCAGAAAAGACCACATTATGGTGACAATATCCGCATTATTGTTTGCTACTCAATTGCTCTGAATATCCTTTCTGAACCTTTTTACTTTTTCCTGAGGTCGTTTCATAAACAATCTTGACAGTTCCCAGGTGATATTTAATAATTGTCAAAGAATAATTTTAATTTAATTCTTTGGTATAACCTAGCTAAGCGTACTACGATATCTGAACTTGCTCATAAGTCTAGCTAATTTGAATATCTAAGCTCAGGAACGTTCTCCATATAAAACTAAAACAATACTTAAACCCATAAAGCATTTCATACATTGAATGATTTAACAATGGCTTATTAGACACATGAAACACAGCTTATTCAATTCAATACTCTTGACACTAAAATACTACATAAACCAATAAACCATATAGCACAATTCCTAAATAAATGTGCATTGAATAGTACAAAAGATAAGCAAATCAAAATAAATCATCGTTAAGCAAATGAAGCATCTCACCGAGATAATTTTAATATAACATATTGCAACGAAAAGCACATGTGAAAATAGTATATCTAAACCAATTTGTTACCATTCACTTCAATTTGCAGGCTTATTGCAGCTGCCGTTACCTATTTAAGGTAAATCATCATAATTCTTTATCAACGTCAAAAAATCAAAAGTAATAGTTTCAAAAATTAGCGGGGTTGATTTGAGGGTCCCCCAAAGTTGGCACGTGACCATGTCCACGTTGCAACCCACCTAGTAATCAGA